GCCATGATATTTTCAATGATAACGATAATTAGTATCCTTCAAGAAATCACCAATAAAAAAATCCAATGAACAGTTTGTTAAATTGATAATAATTCAAAATTCAACAAACGAATTTCGGAACTAATCACTGTTCAGTAGAGAATTCAAAGAAATATCTATATATTTTCTGAAGATCACTTTCATCACCGGTTGATTTCAGTAGGTAGATTATCTAGAATTATTCAGTAACAAATAACTATTTTGTGTATGTATCATAGGAGAATCCACGTTGATTTACTGTCAAAATTTAATCTAATATAATTCAAAGCATTCAAGTTAGATGGCGATTACAATACGATTCAGCCACAGATCCGAACCCAGCACTCACTGATTCTGTCCTTCGTTAATTCACTATATGATACAACTTTGATTCAGTAGTGTTAGACCTACTTTCATGCGGTCACGAGTGTTTATCGCTAAAGAGTCTGAAAATTAAAGTGAAACAATTATTTAATGAAATTTTATTTTCAACTGTTCTAGAGCTAATGTTAATCCATTATGAAAATTGTCTTCACACTAACCAAATGTTTACAAAAGCAATTATGTAAATAATATTTATCTTTGATATAGAAGAGATGGAATGTGGTTAGTAGGGAAATGCAGGATGATACACATTTTGCCTTATTTGGGATGCATTAGCTGGGTATACACCTCCATCCCAGAGTTGATGTTTACGCCTGAACTCTAATCCACTATCGTTCTCTTCAAACGTCATTGTTTGACCCACTTAACTACTAAACCCAGTTAAAATACAAACAGCTATTATTATTTTCTATTTAGTAGTTTAACAAGCACCATATAAGAAGTGATCAGACATTAAAAAACTTTACCAGTAAAAATTCACTTAAGTTGACCCGTTTCAATGAACGCATAGTGAATTACAACCTACGAGTGGTATATTTTTATGATGAGGTCACAGTAATCTACATATCGAGTAGTTCTTTTCTTTATATATTATTTATTTAGCTCATTATACATCCGAGAATGGACAATTTCAATACTCAGTATTAATTACAATTTTAATATATATGTATATAATTCACTTGTGTTGTGTAAAATTTAGTATAGTTTCACAAATTCGTTGCTTTAGAATAATGGACTTAGCTAGTTTTTCTTCAATGTTGTTAATTTTTCCTGTTTGCAGCTGGATACATTTATTATTTGCTCATCATAACTTGGGGTTGAAGATATTAACGTTTGATGTATCCCTCTATGTTATTGGATTAAATTATTACTAGTGTTTTAGAGTTCTCATTTATATTGTCAATTAAAACCATGTATATGATGATGGAAAGAAAAAGATGATACAATAGACAGACAAAGATATTCACGTGACTTCATTCTTTCTTGCAAATCTTCGGGCGTCGGTCGAAGTGAAGCTAGTCAATGATAAGGACATCATGAAAAGCTTTTCAAATGTCCAAAGACTTCGTATTCAACTAAGGCCATAGGGAGATAAAGAGAAAGGTAAAATTACGAAGCGCCTCTCCCTCACTCTGTTTGCTGTTGGATACGTTACAAATTCCGCCAATACCTCCAACAGACACTATATATATGAACACGAACTATATTTTCTTAATCTGATCAGATAATGCAGATGATGTCAAGTGGTCATTTAAATTTTTATTTTCGATTCACTTTTCAAATGTTAACTAAAGTGAAATAGATTAAGATTAATAATAAAATATATGACAACATATCAATGTTTGAAAATGTCATTTTCAGTAGGATTGAATTAAGATATAATTCAACTAAACGACAATTGATCATATATTTTTTCAGAGTATAAAATACAATTGATTTTTATTACGTTCAATTGTGATTGAATAAAATATTTGTTTGAATAAATCCAGCAAAAAATGACTAGATAATAATACTTGTAAATGACTAGTTTGTCAGACCACAGTTACAATAAATTCTTAGCCAAAAGCACTAAATAATTCATAATTAATATATTTGATTTTTAACCATCGAATTGTCTTTTGTACAAAGTGATAATATTAATAATAATAATAGTAATCTATAAACAAATCAGTTTGCTACAACTATATTCTGATATGAGTTATCAGTGAAAATGTATTATTTTAAATAAAATTATGTTAACTTGACAAATCGACTTTGGAAAAAAAAATGTATTCGGTTTCACGTGAATGTTGTTTTGTGTCATGTTACCTTACCTATGAGTGCTAAGTTCTGTTTATCTGATAAACACAAAGTCTTATTTATACTAAATGCATAAAGAAGTACGACAATTCATTTTGCATTTTAACGACAGAATTCAAACATGAAGTATAATGCCTGAAAACAATATATAATACTAAGTATAATTGTAGATGTTAAACAAAACTGTCAGTATCAGTTAAACAAGGCATGAAATGTTGATAAGCCTAAACCTCTGTATAAACAATAGTAGAATATTGTCATCGTTGGCGAAGACAAATTACCAAACTGTATTCCGAACTAAATAAGGTCTTATTATTTCAAGTTGGTTATTTTATCATATTTTCACTTTGGTTTCCGTGTTGTCGTGAACAATCAGTGACTAAACATTTTCGACTAAAACAAGATATATGTTTGAAACATATATCCCTTTTATAATCACCGATTCTCTCCTACTTTATGTTCATAAAGTGGGACTTCAGCAGAAGTTGACGAACTACTTGTTATAAACGTGCTTATCAAAATGCATTCAACTGGTAAATACGTATATTGTGGTGGTGTTTGGGTCTCTGAGCTGGATGTTTCGGTTGTGGAGCTTTCATTGCTCTGCTGAACAACATCATCAGCACAAACTTCAGATAGAAGCTCCACAACCGAAACATCCAGCTCAGAGAACCAAACACCACTACAATCATCCACCTGAGCTACAAATCTTCTGCACCATCTCAAAATACGTATTTTAGACAAAATGTAGATTCATGCTATTAGGAAAATACTTAATATCATTTGGAATTTTTACCTCAATAATAAAAATGGTATACGTTAATGAGCTTTTGAAATGACGTGAGTTCAAATCATCATTATTCACTTCAACCAAATTAATGGCAAACAATAACGTTAGAATGAACGGATATCGAAAGACAAAATATCTGGTTAACTGAAGAGTTGTTGACTCCTAGAAAAATATCACACTTATATATATAACTTGTTAAATGTAAATTTGAAGTTGTTTAAAACATAAGTAATCGTAAGATACAAATTTTGTAGGTCATTTGTCAGTCAGTGAAATTGTGATGATATTTATAAGATTAAATTATTTTTTATGCACCATATCAATATGAAAGTGAACGAAGCAGAAATATCAATAAAAATCAGGTATAATTCATAAATCATAAAATAATAATGTAGCAATAAGATTCAAATAGTATTGGATGTAAGTTTAATTAAATGCTATCCGACAGAAACAGCATAAAATTTATTCTGTACATATATTAATGTGACCTAATTACAACAGACTAAAATGTCAGTTAAAAGAAAATTTTGTCTATAGACTAACATACACAATATAGAACCTGCCGTATGTGTGCGTTGATTTAGGTTTCCACACCAGATTAACACAGTGAGATTGGATTGTCAAGGCAAATTCCAAAGCAGTAAAAAGTTCTGGCCATCTCTATGTTTCTTTCAACCACTCATGCACCAGCCATCGTTGTATGTCTAGGTAGGCGGTGGTTAGGTATGTGCATCATATATCATGACTACATCAGTCGATCAACATTCACTAACCCATTAACTGACTTGATATATTTCACAGATACTCAATGGCTAACGTCAACATAACTCAGTCATTCCACAAAACACGAGCAATGCTTCCAAAACATCTATGTTGGAAAAACTTCAGCCAAGGAACATCTACATTCATAAAGCATGTTTCATGGCCATAAAATGGAACACAGCAAACTATTGATCAGTATGCTCATCTGTTCTACAAGTGATTTAGGTTGGCAAAAGCCATCAGGGCTTTCTGAATACTTGCTGAGATTTCGTCAGACACCAACTCATGAAGGCTGACGAAACAACCTCTCGCCTGCACTAGAGCATGTTTAATATCAAAAATATGCTGCAAAATAAGCAATAATCTTCTGTCTGGTCTTTCAGATGAGATTTGATGGCGATGGGATCTATTTATTCCCATCGTTGAGTGGCCAAGTCAGATGATCTCTCTTTTTTGACTTAACGTTAGCGCTTGCTAAAAGCATAAGTGCAACAAACGCTTGACACTATTTAGTCACAGAGCTGGGACATTGGAGGGTTGATCTAAATATCTTTTACTTTGGCTTAGACTACACGCTTGTGCACTAAAACATCCTTGGATGATTAGATTTGAGGGTTTGACTTTTCGAAGGAGAATAGATAGCTTCTCCTACATCTCGTGTACTTCATTTGAAAGGCAGTTAGTAGGAGCGTAAGAAGAGTCAACGAAAAAGTGATTATGTCCCTATCTTTCAATGTTATTATATCAAAGTTTTGTTAGATTGTGAATCAAAATCCAATCTGTTCGGTTTTTGAACATAATGCTATACCTACGCCAGTCAAGTCATGAAAAGTGGCAGTCAATTCTTCAGATTCAAGGAGAGTAAATAATTCTTGTTTACTGCTGACTACATGAGGACGCGCTTAGACCCTCTATGTTTAGGAGACAATCTATAGGGATTCGAAAGTCCTATTTTAGATAAGGCTGAAAAATGTAGTTTGCAGCAGTTTAAAGAGGACAGGAATAACATTTCATGAATTCGAATCGTTAGACCAACACTAACCTGGACGGTTTAAAACCACAAAATACTAGACAGCCATTCCGTTGTAGTCTGGGATTACAGAGTAATGCATACCCTAAAACCTAATACGACATTCAACCCGATTTCTCAAAGTTTTATGAAGAACATAATATCACTTTTAAATCCTGTTGATTTGTGATGCAGATTGGTTCACATCATGTAGCTAGATGCTGTATCACACTAGTATTTCAGTCGCAGTTTATGAAATTTATTTTAAAACTAGTCATCAACAAGTACAAGATTACAATTTAAATAAGCGGCCAGTGAAGATTAGTATAATTTAAAGAAAATTTATCATTATGGATTGATATCAGCATTGAACAATGACTATCGGTTTCATACTAAACAGATGAACAATATCGTGCTTCTTCTTCCGTAGAACACATACTAACCTGAAAGAAAAATTCAATGTTCAAAAATTTGAATTATTAAAAAAAAACACAATAGACTTAAATTCTTCAACGAGAGAAGTATGTTTTATTTCAGTAAAAAGAATCAGAATGAAAAACAGGCGCCTAAAAAATTCAGCTATCAATTGGTATTAATGATTCATAGAAAAAACCCAAACATATTTTATGAATACATATGCTGTATGTTTAATATTAAAACAAGAAGAGACAAAACAAATAAGTGTCATGTCCATGCATGATTTACATTTAATATTAAACAGTCTATTAAAACAAAAATTCAGGACAAATAACAAAATTGCAGGCATAAGAGACAGAGAGGGGGGAGAAGATACCAAGAAATTATGATTAAAACGCAAAGAAAACACAAATAAATGAATACAATTCAGTTACGTTTGGTGTAGAAGCTTTAAGTAGAAACTTTAAGGAGAAAATAATAACTAGATAACAATGAAAAAAATTTACTACAGTGAATCCATGATCCAAGATCAATATTCAAAATAAAAGACTAGTCATATATACTCACATAATTCATAAGAAAAATAGAATAGAATTGAAGCATTTAGCAATTTTCTATGTGCTCTTGTAAATAAATGTGTATATATATTTTAAAAATAATAGGAAAATATGCAGATAAGGCAAGAATAATAACGATAGTACTTGATATGAATAATTGTGCGATGTAATATATGTAATATATATATATATAGTATTTTCTTTTCAATGTAAAATTGTAGACAAAGTCACCAGTGCTATCGCCACCAAACTAAAGTTGTGCTAGAAAAATAGAAGAAAAAAAACAAGAATTGAAAAGATCGATAAATATTTTACTGAGAAACTATTTGATTCTAATTAATATCAGTAGAATAGTGTCATATAAAGCCAAGACTTGTAAGCTTTAATTAATTATTAGGTTTTCAAGACATTAGTTAAAAAATAAAGTATTGCGATTGTATGCGATAGCCAAATACAATTTCCATGTACTCAGAGTTTTCGATCATATGATTTGTATAAGAGCTAACTGGGTGAATGTACGATACAACTGTCTACACCAAAGTAGGATGGAGAACACATTGTAGGAACTTGTAAATCAATGGTAGGAAATTACAGAAGAAACTGTTGGGACATCAATAAATGAGGAGAATAATGACAGTAGTACCATTCTGAAAATAATGTACAGTTTGTCAAATAAGCTGAAAATTGTACAGGGTGTAGGATAAACTTTATTAAGACTGACACATTGAAATTCCAATGCTTGTTCAACTAAAATTAATTCATGATGTTAACTATAAGATTTGACAATCTTCACAAACCCTATATATATGGTACTAATAACCAACCACTCACTAGTGACGTATTCCGATAGAATTTAACTATGTTGAATAAGAGGCAGTTACTCATTAGTGGCAATGAAAAATAGTTGGACAGTATAGCGAATCAATTGAAGTTACACCTAACAACTACTGGATGCTGGATCTGAGGTCTAAAGCTTGAGTTCCGATGGCGAAACCTAAAGGCATTGGGTTCGATCTATGGCGAGGGTCGTGGATGCTCACTGCTGAAGAGTCGCATACTTAAACGAAACAACTACCCAATGCTTTCAAGTTTCAGCGATTAAATAAGATCAATTCGTGATATTAACTATAAAATTTAAGTGTTTACACAATATTTGGATTAAAAAAATACACCTCATAATAATTGCCTGTGTTGTTTTTAAGACAAGAAAAAAGTTGATATTAATGACTACATAAAGGAAAGAAATATTGATTTGTTTAAGATTTGTGAAATGGCAACATAGATCGACAGCTAATAATGATGTGACCAATTATTAATGTAACAGGATTTTAGTGATACCAATCAATCCAAACCGATCATTGTGATTGACAGTGATCAAGTGAGAATTGTAGACAAACCCAGACTTTTCGGGATAGTAACACAATATAAACAGAAGTCAAACAAAAGATGAAATAACTTATCAACGAAAATGAGGAATTTTATATGGCAAAATTATATATTTACTTATGGAATATTTTACACAATAAACAACATGAGTGAATTGAATTTATTTATTGATTAGATTCCGGTTTATTAGGTTATTTAAGGATTTATGGAATTAAGGCTTAACTTTTAAGCTTAGCTGTTGCCTACAATTTTATATACAGAATAGAAAGATATGTTATGTAAGATAGTTTCTTCATTTCTTCAAGAAAGTAATCATACTGACAACACAATAGATCACATGGAAAAAATTATTTAATGGTTAGTAGTAGTATTATAATAATGCCTGTCCAAACAAAGCAGAAAAGGTGGAATTCGAACTAGCGATTTAAAGTGCTTTAACAATTGATCACAGTATAATTTAGTACGATAAGCAAATAATAGGTATGAGGTTTACAGTTTGTTTCAGTAACTGTACAATTTATCGAGTAAAGATAGCAAATTTTATATCAATTATAACAATAACACGATCTCTTTGAAGTGATCATAACACATTTACTCTTGTCAACAGGTAAAAACAGTGAGATTTATATGAAAATTGAATTAGATATTTAGTAGGTTTGATGTATAAATAGTGTCAGCTAGTCAGCCACAACATAGAACTTAGAACATACGTACGTACATGCATTAATTCAAGTTGCCAAATCATATTAGCACAGAAAGATGGAAATGTCCATTCAAATTCCATAGCACTAGATGTAGTAGAAGTATTAACAGTAATAGAAAAGATTAGCGTTCAAAGAACTGATTCCAAAAGTATAATCGAGTGATATAAAAATTTAAAAAATTGAAAAGAGATGATAAATAATTCCGCAGATTAGAATTTGAGTAAGTCAAACAAAAAAGTATTGAAAGCATCAGATAAAATAAGACCATAATGATAAAGTACACCTCATTTAGAAAAACACAACTGTTTCATGCATTTAAATTAGAACACAACACTGTTGTGAGTAAACAGATCATATATTATTTTGCTCTAATTTATAGAATAATATACATATATATATATATATTTTTTAAACAAAAAACACAACAACATAAAGATACTTGGAATAAATTTAGTTAGGCAAAACAATAAATACGCTAAATTATAAATAACAGTGTGACTGTTGTTATTGGAAAGTGAAAATATTTAGATGAAATTAATTTTCAACTGATAATGTTACTGTTTGACAAAAAAAATGGCATATACAGTTGCACATAAACTACTCTGATCATATCAAGTTACAAAAACTCATTTATTTTATTCATTATAATGATATTGTTTATTTCATTAGTAATTAAGAAATAAAGCGTTTCACATCTTATAGATAATATATTGAAATAGGGAGATCTAATTTTTAGTACTAATAAAGTTTTTGAATAACTAAAGCAACGTATCGTTAATATCAAGTGTAACTAGTGTTGATTATATGTTGACGTGATTTTTAATAAAACTCTGAAGATTATAGTGTATGACAGCATTTCATGTGTCTCTATTGTAGCGTTCTTTGATTAGTACAGATCATGTGAACTACTGAATACTCAAAAAGGGTCTCAGTGACCAAATTAACTTAGATACATTACTTGGATGTAACGTAAATACTAGATAGAATGACAATTAAGGAATAATGACTATAGAAGTAGATTTATTACAGAATCATGTATTCTGTGTCACTATCCTGAAACATTGGTTAAGATGATTTGAACATATTTTACGAATGTCAGCTCGACGACTTCCATATCGTACACTAATTGATGAGACTGAGACTGTGTGAGAAAAGTGGAGAGATGGTCAATTCATGACATGGCGTCGCGGTATTACAAATAGCTAGGATCTTTCGATTTATTATGAATCCCTGATTAGGGTCCTAGAGATTATGTAACTTAGTGGGTTGATATATATTGCAATATACTATTTAGAATAGAAGATAATGGCGAATCTCCTGAAGTTTTCTTCCTAATGATGAGGTTATTAGTTGAATGAAATCAGTTTTGGCTCTGATTTTTACCGATATGTATCTTAATGAGCACTATCACTCCTTGATTATTCATTAATTGTATCTCAGGTACTAATTTATTTTCTTAAACTTTTATAACTTAACTAATTGTTCATTTTTCTGGTGACATATTGTACCAATATTTGATATCAGTAGATGAAAAAAGCAAACTTATGACAATCATAACCACGAAAAATTCTTTTAAATGGACATAGGAAGTTGTTTTTATCACAAACTATCATGACATAGTTTTATAAATTTATGAGCTTATAAAAAAGTTATTTCACGGCCTTCTAAAAGTGATTAATTTACCATAGTTGATAGTATACACCACATACTATATATGCAAGTTTAATACATCAGTTGTTTTCTTTAAGTCCGATTAAAGTTAAAGGATGTAACACTAATACACAATAAATTATCATTAGTAAGAAACAAGATCTTATAGATTGAAATTCACACATCATGCAAGATAAAACCACAGAAAATTATCAATCCAGAAAAGACTCTAGAAGTATGGACGTTGTATTTCAGTAATGAGTATTCACCACCTTGTATACGGTAATCGAATTCTAGACCTTCGATCTCACGTGCGAATGCTTAACCTCTAAACCACTGATTTGGTATCCGGTGGTATTAATCTCTAACTCCAATCAAACTAAGACATTGTATGCCTATCTTCTATTGTCTTCGGTTGGGAAATGCCTCACACCCACTAGTCACGGTTTTTCACTAGAACTCCGGAAATTTCTTCTCAAAGCTAGTTATTAGTCATTATGTGATAATTGTTGGTAATTACTGAATTTCAGTGAAACCATGCATAGAGATTAAGCATTTGCATGCAAAACCGAAGGTCTTGAATTCGATTACCGTATGAAAGGTTGCGGATACTTATTACTGAACAGTCCAGCACTGGGATGAAACGGTCATCCAGTGTTTTCAGACTTTTTAATAGTAGTCTAACTCAGATCGGTTTATGATTTCAATGATAATGAGTACAGAAAACTATTCGGCTTAGTATTATTATATATACATATTAGAAAAGGATGGATACAATGATAACATCAAACTCTATTTGGTAGTAAATTAAGAATAATGTCCAATACTATGTTGTTTAGTTCTTAGTGTTGATCGAATTCGATTGATTTTATCGAGTACAATAAGATTACTAGCCTAAGTGATTTGATACTATATGTGAGGTATCTTGGTTTTGAGTAATCAAAGGTGTAACCAATGACCTATTCAAATAGTGATTAGCCTCTTAAATTACTGCAATAATTACACAAACAATATTAGGCAACTGTAACATTGGAAGACATGGGTTTGAAATTACGGGGAGAACGAGTTTATGTAAGATTGAGGATACGCTTTGTTGATCTGTACTCACTGGTATGAGAGGTAGGCTCAAACCATTCTGACAACTTACGACATTTGCGACGAAAAAGACTTACTTATATCATCTGAAAACGTTGGATTTTCATGTACTTCTGTACCACGAAAACCACAACGACGCATAAAGTAGGCTTCAATGGAAGCTGGTGTTTTTCCTTTCGTTTCAGGTAGATACAATCCAATAAATATTAATACGGCAAACAGTACACAGATAAACGGTATGAAAGCATAAGTACCAATATATATCTGTGAAGAAAAGAGAAAAAACAGTAAATTAAATAGATAAAAGTAAAATATTAAAATACTTAGTTTTTTTAATAAACAAAAGATCAGGAATATTGGCATAATAAAAAATAATTGGATACATAATCTCTATTTTAAATTAGAAAGTAGGAAAACACGAATAAACAGCGTAAAACCTGGAACACGTATGGATTGGTCCGGAGTACCAATGTTTATCAGCACTATGATAATGTTTAACACATAAAATCTTCAATCTAACCTGGTATTATCATTAAACCTAGTGATTTAATGCTATTTGACTTATTGTTTGTATGCTACAGAAGGAACAAGTGAACAATGTTGAATGAGACTAGGGTATCAGGTACTAGGAGCAAAGGTGGTGAACCAATTAATAAAAATGTCAACCTTCATCAGAATATAATCAATCAACATTTGTCAGTGTACTATGGTGAGTTCCATAAGAACACATTGAAAAAGAGTCAATTTTTAAACTAAGATGTGATATTAAATCATAAAATGTTGACATGATTCGTGTAGAGAGATAAAGTTTATCTATTTAGAATCGATCATACTACCATGATCTATGATTGTGACCCAGTCGAGTTTACGCTTGATCATCCATTTATATAGTTATTACTGGCTTATTCACCTTTTATGATTATTTTAGTTTTTCATTATTGTTATTCTTTTATCATGTTTAAATGATTGTTTCAAGATGATAACATGTAATGAATTACCAGTTTCAGTGAAAATCAACATACTTTACTGATTATTGGTAAATTATATGACATTACCTCTTAACAGTAATAATCCCTTAGTGATGATAATGGAACATAGAAAATTGCCAAACATCCTTAGCTCAGACAGACTAATATTTCCAAGTCTAGGAAAAGAAAATACTCGTAACGACATATCATACGTTCAATTAGTTGTGGTTAGACTAACGTCCTAAATGTTAACTGAATTAGTATAAACTGTTTTTGTTCTTATTGTATACAGACTGACCACTATACTATATCACAGTTCATACAACAATCTACATATACAAACTTCTTAACCATTATTTGTATCGTTTTTCTAATTACAAATAATTAACATATTCAATTGTGTAATACATCTCTATTTATTATAAGGCATCATCAGGTGCTAAACTCGCAATATGAAGCTCACGTTCACGTTTATAAATAGAATTAGAAAAAATCTCTGTTAGTAGGTAGTAATACTAATAACGAATCTGTAAATAAGTATTAGCTCTTACATTTATTCTACGGTTTTAAATCGTGAATTAAGCTTAGCTAGACTGCCATCGAAAACTAAGTACTGAAGAGCTGTTTCGTCGTGGTTTGGAACTCCTCAGCAGCGCACACTCATGACCACGTCACAGAGGAACGAACCCAGTAGCTTCGGTCTCGCAGCGGATGCTGAGACTTTAGAACACGGATCCAGTAACAAGTAGTTTACATATCTCTAGCTAAGATCAATCGGCAATATTACACGACCGTCTTGTTATTGTCTCTGGTGGATAACTGTTTCACACCTAACACAGTTGAATTCCATTGGTCACGGTTTCTAACTAGAACTTCAAGAGTTGTATCTTAAAACGAGTAACTAGTGATAACATGATTATTATCAACATGAGGTAATGTATGTACACCGCTGAGTTCCATAGTGGGACAAAACAGTCATTCAGTATTTCTTGGTGGTCTATGAAAATTCTATAATCTCCACAAAGACCTATCCTGACTTATTTATTTGGCTAAACGACTCATCCTTACCTGGTATGAAAATTGAAGTGTTTATGAATGAATACTAGAATTTATAATATCGGCTATCATTGGTTCAGTTGCGTGTGTTTTTTTTGTTTTGAAAAACAAAAAAGATATGTACACACTTTGAACTATTACACAGTTGACTATTATTAATAATTAAAACATAAAAACAATAGAAATATACAAAAAATATCAAATCAGCTATCAAACCTAAATCACATTTTATTTGTTATTATTGATGGTAATACTGTTGTTTTATTTACAGGATTGTTGAGTTAATTATGAATAAAGGTTATTCTATTAAATAGAAATGTAATCCTAGTTGAGTAAATATTATTACATAATATAATCGTATAATAATAATAGTGAATATTATTATTGCTATGAATTTTCTAGTTGACATTGTACATTGGAATTCTAATAAAACAGTAAACATTAAAGCTAGTTTGTTGTTTGAATAAAAATTGTTACAAGAGTAGTTTATTGAAATGATAACTCCAACACTGTCAGAACATCATTAGAAACCTGAAGGCACTGAATGGCCGTTTCATCCTAGTATGGGACTAATCAGCAGTGCGGATCTGCGATGCCCGCTAGAGTGAATTGAACTCAGGACCTTCTGTCATTGAAAAAATGCATAGTATTCTGATCAATATGAGCAACGATGCAAGAACGTTTGACAGGGGTTTTACAGTGCTGCTTCAAGATTGATCTTCGACAACGACTAAACTAGTGACAGAGTGAACTAGTTGAGTATGTCAGTCGTCTCATGTATCTTGAAAGTTTTACCAACCTTTATGAGTTTGTGTCTGACGAAATCTCATCAAGTATTCAGAAGGCCCTGATGGCTGTTGCCAACTTAAATCACTTGTGGAACAGATGAGTATACTGATCAATAGTTTGATCTGTTCCATTTTATGGCCATAAAACACGCTTTATGAATGTAGATGTTTCCTGGCTGAAGGTTTTCCATCATAGATGTTTTAGAAGCATTGCTCATGTTTTGTGGAATGACTGAGTTATGTTGACGTTAGCCATTGAGTATCTGTGAAATATATCAAGTCAGTTAATGGGTTAGTGAATGTTGATCGACTGATGTAGTCATAATATATGGTGCACATACCTAACCACCGCCTACCTAGACATGCAACGATGGCTCGTGCATGAGTGGTTGAAAGAAAAGTAGAGATGCTCGAACCGAAACGAAGCATCAGGTCATGAAGCCGTTGGCTATCGTTTTGAGCCATGTTGGTCAATATGGTCTACCTGATTAGGGTCTGCATGACAACCGCGTACAGTGGTTGGAAACTTGGGGTGATATGGCTCAGAATCGTTCGCTTCATACATACCGTTCCACTGTCTTACGAAATCATATTCCCACGGCTTAGTCTTTCTTTTTATAATTGCTACTACCTTATTTCGATCCTATTTTAAATTTCCATCTCGTCGTGCCAATAAGATATGGCAGCTTGAGGCAATACATATTTGTCCTAGGCTCTATTTTGTGATGCCTGCCTATCTATCTTGGTGAAAATTGGTGGACTGGTGAAAATATTACAGTTGCATATAACCTGGAAAAATCTAAAATAAAACAATAGATTCACCGAAAAGGTTGGTTTTTCAGTATCATTATTTTTAAGCGGTGCACAAACGTAATTAATTATTACATTTAGATAGTAGTGAAGCAGCTAAAATTTACTGGTTTGAAAATATCACGCCTTAAGTCAGAATCCTTATTCCAATATTTCGAATGGAAATTCATGGCCGATACAATCTAGCTGCTAAAACTGGACCACCATCCTTAAAATCTCAGCGGTAAGCATATCAGGACCTACTGCTCTACCTCCCTTTAGATTTCCCATAGCCTTCTCAACTTCATAAGGAGTCAGAAGACTTACGTCGCCTTGCCATTCAGCATGACTGGAGATCGTGGGCAACCTAATTGTGACTGAAGACCAGTTGAACTGATCCTTGAAGTGTTCTGCCCATCGATTCAATCTCCTGGATTGAGAATGAATAATAGGACCATCCTTCTCTAAGATAGTCTCACTTACAGTCGGGTTCTTAATACCGGTTTCCTTGATGAGTCTGAATAGTTTTCTACTGTTGCTTACCGCCGCTGCCTTTTCCATGTGGTCTAGAGCGGGGTTTCAGGAGACCAGGAATAACGTTTCGTGAACTCGCATCGTTTGCATTAGCTATGCAGTGTGATAAAGGAATGTGAGAAGAGTTAGTCGTGGACATAAGAGAGGTATTAGGGGATGTAGGAAGGGTTTGATTATGACCGATTTGGTCTAGCGGGCTGTTACGGGTATGAGGGCGGTTTTCGCTTCCCGGCTGCCCACACCTTGGAAGGTTGTTTCTTGAGGGACCTGAAAAGGAAGGTAGATTAGAGTTGGTCTTGGAGACCTGGGATTGTGACAGTTGAGTCCAAGCGACAACTGCTTGAGGCCAGTCACGGAATTTTAGGGGACAACGAATAACGATTCGCAAAGTTGAAACGTTTGCAATGGAATGAAAGTAGGGTTGATCGCAGAGATAAGGGAGTTTTAAAAAGGATTTGATTGACAGATTTGGTCTCGCGTGCTGCTACGAGTATGAGGGAAGATGTCAACTCCCGGCTGCCCACACCGTAGAAGGGTGCTTCTTGAGGAGCCTGAAAAGGAAATCGGATCGATGTTCGTCTGAGCGACCCAGGAGCGTGAACCACAAAAACCCAGGGACAACTACTTGAGGCCGGTCGAGCACGGCCTTTCTATGAGAAGTACCTAAAGTGTTAGCTCCGCTCTCGTTTAAAAGACCTTAACGCCGCAGACGGAAATCCGTAAGATAAGGTGAAGTGTGAGTTGCGATAGATTCCAGTAGTTACCAGATGCAGCTACTGTTTCTGACTAGTTTGCACGCTTCGACCACCAGGCTTCTCGATCCTTACGCAAACTTAGCATGATTTCATTACGCAATAATCTACGTTTATCGTCAAACTCGCAGTTACTCGATGTAAGTCAACGTGCCTTAAGGAGTTGTAAGGAGCCTGCAGAAACCCAATGCTTATAAGGGGGCTGTTTCGCAAAGCCACGAGCGACGTTACTCGGTATATTTATTATGTTACGCGAATGCAACCAGTGCTTGTCTACAATTTTTGGTAGATTGATAATTAGCTCTGAACCTAGTAACTGTCAGAACAAAGACTAAAGGTGTATCAACTCCCAGAACTAAATTACGGATTATTACAGTGCATATTCGTATTGTATAATTATTATGTAACGAGAGTATTGAGTATATGTAATTCTTTTATCTTAAACCTTTGTATTAACCCATAAAATGCTATCAGACGATTTACTGATTCCATTTTGTTGCTAGTTAATTATTTCTAGTCTGCCCTACATTTGGCTCTTTCATGTATAACTATTACTTTTCATGTTATGGCGTGATGCGACCTGATCTACCTATATATAAACGTCTGTTTGAGATATAGTTATCGCAGTAAAGGCTGGCTACTGGATTCTGAATTCAAGGGCAGGACAGGCAGAGAATCCATAGAATTGTGGACCAATAAAGACTTAACAGTTGACTCAAGGTAACCAGTGATGGGTGGGTGTGAATTGGTCGACCCAGAGAGACTAAGTCATAAAAATTGGAGTTGTGATTGGTGGTGTCAGGTGATTTTGGTCAGCGATTGAAAGACATAACAAACCTAATTCTGTTTGATATTGCGTCGTAACATTGATTCGTTTAGGAAGATGAGTTTGTTAACCACTTAAACGTAAGATAAGATAAACGCAAAAGGGGGCATGATCGGAGTTTTAATAAGTACTCCGAAAGGAGCTGTAGTTTTCTGCACAATCATGCCAGCGGTGCCTGATCCCGATGTGATCAACCTGGGTGCACACCTGAGATACAGAGGGAGAAAGCCAGATAGCACATCGGTGATGACTGTGTCGATAGTTGTTGCTAGCCAGAAACAAACTGTAGTCTGTGCAAAGTTGCAAGAGATAAAAGCTGTTACCAGACCTGAGATACCATTGGCCATCCAAACTACCCTCTTCTGTGCCTAGACACACGACCTACTAATCCAAATGTCCAGCCAGCACTACAATCTGTCGAACGAGCTTCCTGATGATCATTAAACTAGTGGTAGAACTCATTCTTGATCGCATCTAGGCTGTAATTTGTCCGGGTGCAGGAGATAACGTAAAGAGATGCCTATGTTTGGTAATTTCCCTGAAGCACAGACCACAGTGGTGAACGAAAAGTTCGAGTTATTTTAATTCCGATTGTTGAGATTCTTATATACATAGGTTGCCTTTTCAATGAATCTTATTAAATTAGTTTCCGAATATTATTGACCAATTAGTTTGAATTTATGAGTCTTCACATAACTCATTTATCAGCCAGAAATAATGAAGAACTTGGCACGTGCATACTTCAGTTCAATTTGCCACACCACATTAGTACAGAGATCAAACTGTCGATCCAAATCCCGTAGCAGTATTATATGTGATGAAAAAGATAAGGAATCGAAGATATTAATCGAGAAGTATAACCCAGTGAAATAAATTTAAAGAGACAAAGATAAAAGTTATGGGGAAATCACTAGATTGTAATTTGAGAAAACGCAAAGAATGAATGCATCTGTACCATTGCAAGCGATTTCAAGCTGTGTCACTTAAGGTCGCTAATCATCGCTTTTTATCGTCTTGCGCACCCCAATCAGATGGTCTACACCTACTAAAATGGTTCAGTTCATTTGTCAGCGAAATGTAAGATCATTTTATGTGGTAAATCATTTCACATTCATGTAACAATAATTTTATGCTTTAAATGAACAAACAGATAAAATAAAAGCAAATAAAATCTACAACTGACCAATGTAGAAGAAGATTATGAACAAAAAGTGTTACCGTTTACTCGTACATAACAATACAAATTAGACTGATTCAACTTACGACCAATTGCGGAAATACTAATGCTACAATAGCATTACACAACCAGTTGGTTGCTGCAGCAATCGAGACAGCAGCATCACGATTTTCTTGCGTAAACAATTCAGAAACTATAAACCATGGAATAGAACCTGAAATAAATGTTTTTAAAGAGAATTTTCTGATAAGTTTGAAACGAACGGTGGTTCTTGAAGCCAACTTATTCAAAATATCATCACGTGTTTCTAAACAGTTTCGACTAGTAAAAGTTAGTAGTTTAACTATGAGATCAAAAGTATAGATAGGATTAAGTTCATAAACTAGTAAAATCTTATAATGGTGAGGACAAAATAAAACAACCACTAGCACAACTTTTTCAAATTTGAGTCAATAATGACAATCGACTTCACTGATATGTAGAAACAACAAGTTTTATTATTTGACCAACAAGGATCTTAGCAAAGTTGTTTCATCATTTTATAGGCTGTAAACAGAAAAACGATCATTATTACAAAGAATATCAAGCAATCAATAACTGAGTTATTTTCCCAACTGTAGTATACACTAAGTAACCCTCCTGTCAGTATACATGAAAAACTATGCAGAAATCAAAATGTCTGCTAACTGACTTACCTAAACTCATTGAAAATCCGAATAAAAACGTATACGTCAATACAATCGACAGAATTGTAAGTTTATTGATCTCAGTCATTTGTTTAACAATTAAGCTTAAAGTGAATAGTAAGAGGCTAAAAAGACAAACTGATATTCCAAACATTAATAAAGGACGTCTGCCTTTTCGATCGATAATAAATATAGATGCAAATGCACCGACTAAAATTGTAACTCCAGTGCCAAGATTTGCATAACTTGCGACTTGTTTTGTTAATCCATTCGATATAAACAAACTTACAAAGTAATAAAGAATCTGTAAATTGAAAAGGTAATATTTCATTGGTGCTTTGAATAAAATAAAGTGATATAACTTTACGAAAGGAAGAGAGTCAAGAGGACAAATAAACATTTACTACACATTAAAATTAAATCAAAAACTAGCTCGTAATACATTGATATTTATGGGTTTCATTTACACTAACTAACAATTACATTTCAAGCAGGTTTACCTGAAAAGCATTTGTTCACTGATTCATTTATTCAGTCAGTTAATTACAACCTAGAACTTCGAACATACGTACATCAGTTGAAGTTGTCATACTACCTTAACACAAAGACGCAATTGTCAATTCTAATCCCATAGTAGTAGAGGTAGTAGAAGTATTAGCAGTAATCGGAGAGATTAGGGTTCGAAGATATTATTCATGAAGTATAATCTGGTGAAATAAACTCAAAAAGAAAAAGATAAGGTGATGAGGAATTAAGAAGTTTAGGATCTGAGAGAACACATAGAATGTATGCACCTGAGCCATCGCAAACGGTTTTGAGTCATGTCACTCAAAGTCTCTAACCATCGGTTACCATCATCTCTCGGACCCCAACCAGGTAGCCTACATCTACCGACATGACTTAGTCCACTTGTCAGTAAATTCATGGATTTGTGCCATGTTTCGGTTTGGCCGCCCCTAGCTTCGCCCAACATATTCCTACACCACAAAACATATCTCGACGAGGCAGTCGGTGGTTAGGCATTCGTAACGCACGTCCCAACCACCTCAACTGATGGAGTTTCAATACTTCATCTATTGATCTGCCATCCTAAACTAACACCCGTTTTCTAACAACAGCATTGCTGACTCGATAGTCCCAAGACAAACGAGCAATATTTCAGAGACACCTATGATCGAAAACCAGTAACACACGAATACCTAATACTCTTACTGAACATGTTTCACAGCCATAAAGTAGGATGGAGCGAACTACTGCACAGTACACTCGTCCTTTGGTTAGCAGATGGATATCTCGCCTACGCCATAGGTGACGCAACTTGGCTAAAGCCAATCGAGCTTTCTCTATCCGTGCTGAGATTTCGTCAGTCAACTGGCCATCAGCACTGATGGGACTACCGAGATAAATGAAGCGGTCTACACGCCCGACTCCCGACCGAAGCGGCTACCTTGACGTCTCGATGACCCAACCGAGCTATATTTCCTGGAACATATGTTCCTGAATGATCTACCATGCCAGGCAGGTCGATTGGAGAACGATGGGACTAAAATCATCCACTCAGGGTCTGAGGGCAAAGTCGTACTCCTGACCGACTGTAGAGGGTTGTGACAGCAATAAGGTGTTTCCCTCGCACAACCAGCAACTGAAGTGATGCTAACTCCTCACAAGGAAGGAAGGGTTAGAAAAGGTCAACCCTAAAAATGTCACACCTCACCTCACCTCACGGATTTCCGTCTCCGATGGAAAGGTTACTCACTAAGTGCTTTAAATGAGCGGAAATAATATTCAAAAAACCTCTCATAAAAAAAAAGGCCGTGCGTGACCGGCCTCAAGTAGTTGTCCCTTGTGCTCTGCGGTCACGCACCCAGGTCTCCAAGACCAACACTAATCTACCTTCCTTTTCAGGTTCCTCAAGAAACAACCTTCCAAGGTGTGGGCAGCCGGGAAGTGACAACCGCCCTCATACCCGTAACATCACACGAGACCAAATCTGTCACAAACTGATTCTTCCTACCCCTCCTAATACCTCGCTTATCTCCACGACTAACTCTTCTCACATTCTTTTATCACATTGCACAGCTAATGCAAACGATGCGAGTTCACGGAACGTCATTTCCGGTCTCCTGAAACCCCTCTATAGACTACATGTTGGAGCATTTAATGTACGGAAATTGTGTCAAATAGGGCAACAGGCTTCATTGGCTAGGACTTTAGAATCTCGCTCAATCGATGTCTCGCAAACGCACATACAGGATCCGAGTAGCATCATTCACTTGACCTCACCATGTCAAGATAAAGAAGCAACTCGATTTACCCTTCGTGTGTCCCGTAGCCCTGATGCTGCTTCTAGGGGCCTCGCTGGTGTAGGTATAGCAATGAGTCGTAGAGCAGAACAATCTCTCCTTGACTGGATCGTAGTGGATAGTCGCGTGTGCGCCGTCCGCCTAAACGAGACATTAAGTATTCGAAAGGATAGGGACACTCGTCGTTGCTTCTTCGTCATATCAGCGAACGCCTCCACTGACTGCAGTTCAGACGAGGTGAAAGATGAGTTTTACAGAAAGCTTTAGGCCCTCCAACAAAAAGCTAAGCTCTCTGATATGGTTATAATGGCTGGTGATGTCAATGCCCAAGTAGGTAGACTATGTGAAAAGGAAAGAAACCTAGGTGGATGTTATGGTCTCGCGGCTCAAAGAACAGACGATGGCGACCGTCTGTTGCAACTGTGCTCAGACAACCGCCTATTTCTAGAAAACACTAATTTTAAGCATAAGGGAAAACATCTTTTGACCTGGCGACCCCGGAAGTCGTTTCAACGTTGGACGCAACTAGATCATATCGCCATCAGCTACCGATGGATAGGTTCGATAGAGAACTGTCGCTCGTTCTGGGGCACATGTTTAGATTCAGATCATGATCTAGGGAGAGCCAGTATTTGTTTGAGCCTTACTGGACGTAGGAAAGACAAAAGCAGACTTTTGTCCTTTATTGTAGATCGGGACAATTAGCGACTTAGATCAGTCAGATGGGATTACGTCCAGTTCCCAGATTCTACCTAGGAACTCGTTTAGTCTATCAAAACTGGACCACCATCCTTAAACATCTCAGGGGAATAAGTCTAACTAATATAGTTTCTACATTGTTAGCCTCGATTATACTTAGACGTCTAACTAGAGCTCGTGAAGATCAAACTCGAGGAAACCAGGCTGGTTTTCGACCTGGACGTGGTTGTATAGACCACATCTTCACACTATGACAGGTCCTGGAACACAGACACACATTTAGACGTCCGACAATAGTCGTGTTCCTGGACCTAAAAGCGGCATTTGACTCAGTGGATCGTGAGGTTCTGTGACAGTGTCTGTCATTGAAAGGTGTACCAGAGAAGTACATTAACCTCATACAAGCTCTCTACTCGAACACCACTGGTCAAGTGAGAGCTTATGGCGAACTGTCACCTGAATTCTTTGCTTCAAGTGGTGTCCGTCAGGTCTGTCCACTCTCTCCATTCTTGTTTAATTTTATCATAGACATGCTCTCAGAAATAACCTTATCCTCGTCTGAATTTTCAGGAGTAGACCTTTTACCAGGTGGCTCGCTTATTGACTTAGAATATGCCGATGACATAGTCATACTTGATGAAGACGCTGACAAAATGCAGTCTTCTGACCACACTAAGAAACAATGACGTCCGAGTACGTATGATTCCAATATTTTAGATACTATATTAGTTAGATTGATTCCCCTGTGATGGTCACAAGAGGACTTTTGTCCTTTCTCATAAATTGGGACAATCAGGGATTGAGACCAGTTCGATGAGACTGCGCTCAGTTCCCGAATTCAACCTAAGATCTCAGACAATCTAACTGTTAAAACTGGACCACCATCCTTAAAATCTCAGCGGTAAGCATATCAGGACCTACTGCTCTACCTCCCTTTAGATTTCCCATAGCCTTCTCAACTTCATAAAGATTCGGAGGGCTTACGTCGCCTTGCCATTCAGGATGACTGTTGATCGTGGGCAACCAAATTGTGACTGAAGGCCAGTTGAACTGATCCTTGAAGTGTTCTGCCCATAGATCCAATCTCCTGGATTGAGAATGAATAATAGGACCATCCTTTTCTAAGATAGTCTAACTTACAGTCGGGTTCTTAATACCGGTTTCCTTTATAAGGCGGAAAAGTTGTCTACTGTCTCTTATCGCTGCTGATTTTTACATCGCTTTTGCTTTCACCACCCACCACTGTTCGCGGTCGTTGCGCAGGCCTTTTATCAGCTTGCGCCTAAGCTGGCTTCGCTCTTCACCATGTTCAGAGCTAGGTGCGATAAGTTTTCGAGCATCCATCAGTTCGGTAGATACCACTGAAATCCACGGCTTCTTCCTAGACCCTGTGAAGCAGCATCAAGACTTCAAGACACACGAAGAGTAAATCGAGCTGCTTCTTTATTTTAGCGAGGTGAAATCAATCTAATGACTATACTAGGATCCTGTATGTGCGTTTCCAAGACGCAGCATACATCTATGGCATGAGACCCTAAAGTACTAGCTAAGGAAGCCTGTTGCCCTATTCGACACAATGTCCGGACATAAATGCTCCAACATGTAGTCTATAGAGGGGTTTCAGGAGACCAGGAATAACGTTTCGGGAACTCGAATCGGTTGCAGCAGAGGTGCGGGAAGAGTACGTTGTGGAGATAAGAGAGATAATGGTGGGTGTAGGAAGGATCAGTTTGTGACAGATTTGGTCTCGTGTGATGTTACGGGTATGAGGGCGGTTGTCACTTCCCGGCTGCCCACACCTTGGAAGGTTGTTTCTTGAGGAACCTGAAAAGGAAGGTAGATCAGTGTTGGTCTTGGAGACCTAGGATCGTGACCGCTGAGTCCAAGGGACAACTGCTTGAGGCCGGTCACGCACGGCCTTTTTATGAGAGGTTTTTTGAATATTATTTCCGCTCACTTAAAGCACTTAGTGAGCAACCTTTCCATCGGAGACGGAAATCCGTGAGGTGAGGTGAGGTGTGACATTTTTAGGGTTGACCTTTTCTAACCCTTCCTTCCTTGTGAGGAGTTAGCATCACTTCAGTTGCTGGTTGTGCGAGGGAAACACCTTATTGCTGTCACAACCCTCTACAGTCGGTCAGGAGTACGACTTCGCCCTCAGACCTCGAGTAGGTGCTTTTAGTCCCATCGTTCTCCAATGGACCTGCCTGGCATGGTAGATCATTCAGGAACATATGTTCCAGCCAATATAACTCGACTGGTTCATCACGATAGTCAAGCTCGACCACCACGTCAAGGTAGCAGCTACGGTCGGGAAACCGGAATATTTAAAGTGAACGAGCTAATCTACTGGTAAGAGTTCAACTCCTTAGAAGTCAGATGATGCAAATGTCGTACCTAATAGAACGTCAATGAGAAAGTTAAACAAGAATGGACAGGACTGACGGACACCACTTGAAGTTATCAATTCTGATGAAAGTTCGCCAAAGGCTGTGACTCGACCAGTAGTGCTCGAGTAGAGAGCCTGTACAAGGTAATATACTTCTCCGATACCCCTTTCTCGAATTATCGTAAGTTTGAAATTCTAAAACTGACCAGTTGAGTTGTATGTCTAGACCCTAGTAACAAGCAGAAAAAGACATCCTATTTATCGAACTATCGGTCAAGCCAATGCACGAAATCAGTGTTTTATGTGTGATATCATATAAAATTCATCCTCTTATTTATTCATTGTATAGAAATGTTCAGAACTTGACCGGATACAAACATTCATTAGCCTAAGCTGCTATACCAATCCAGTACAGTAAGACAAAATTAACAAGAAATATAAGTAATAGTAATTCCTACTACAGAGAAAAAAATAGAAAATAACGTTCTGATAAAATCAGAAACGAACTTCAGGATAGAAAGTATAAAATAATATTGAATTTCAAAACCTAAAAAGAGACAGAAAATAAGTGTTTCTGTGCCACTGGAAACTAGTTTGGATCATTTTTCACCCAGGGTTTATAATCATAGATCACGATTACCATACAGATTCTGGTCAATGAGTCTTAATCTGTCTGAATGACCTATTCTAATAGTTTAAAACTTTATGGGATGACGCTAGGTTCCTGTTTTGTTGTTCTCACCTTCCTTTTAATATACCTAAAGATTGAACAACTAGCAGATTGAAGAGAGCAAGAACAAAGAGGTACTTAGAGGGAACTAAATGTATGAAACTAAAAGATTTTTCACCAACTAAAAGCAGTCAAAAAGTTGGAGGGTTGTTTTTATTTAGAGATTATAAATTTAAACTACATCACTATAAAATAAAACCCTAGTACTAATAACTATTTGTCATTCTGATATCCATACGTAACAACTAACTATATGTAACTTTTACTATCACAAATCTCATATGTCCGGTAAAATCTGACTATAATAACTACAAATCAATGTATTAGTTAAGCTTGCAACTCAATCTTTGAGAATTAAATGAATAAACTACTGGGATGCAACTTCTATGATTCTCGATTTATATAACCTTTCAAAACCATTATTTATTCATGTATCACCATATAGTACCTTATTCTGTTTGTTTATAAACACTGAAAGTAAGTAAGGTACATTAGGCGACCCTATATACGTATTAACATCCTAAAGCTCAAATGATATATCGGTCTAAACATAGTTCATGATTTAAATGCGTGCATGTTACCAATATTTTAAAGCTTAACATTTTGTAGGTACCAATTTTTGGCTCGGTTCGTTAGTAGCTTGACTTTTAATCATTGTCCTGAATTTCAAGCGTTTCGACCGAACTATATATAATTTAGGTGATCAACAGAAAAGAGTGAGAGTTTGAAAATTTAGGACATTGATATTACGAAGAAAGTATAAAGGACGCACTCATAATTAAGGATGAGAAAACTAATGAGTAAAAGGAGGAAACCGAGATTCAATCAGTCAGCAACAACTTAGAACTAAGTACATGCGTACATCAGTTCAGGTTGCCATACCACATTAACACAGAGGCGCAATTGTCACTTCAAATCCCATAGTAGTAGAAGTAATAATAATGTTAATAACAGAAAATTAACGATAAACATGAGCTGAGTAGAAGGTTGGAAAGCTTGATTTGTACACACAGATCAGACTGGAATTAGCAGACAAAGGAAGTTTAAAAATAACTTAAGAGCTACACAGTGTAGTTTGGTAAACACTGAGATTTGTGTAGCTTAAAATAATGAGTTTTGAAGGAAGAACCGCCCATTTTGTGAAATCACTTACCTTTTCCGGAAATACAAAAGCATCTTAGAATAAAGCACCTTATGCTCAAGTCGAATAATCTACCCTTTATTTATGAAGGCTAGCACTCAAACGAAGTTTATTTGTGCATTTAATGCTGGCTTGATTAGCCAAATATAACTGAATGAGAAATACCGGAAATATCTTGGCCAAAATAATGTAACGGTTCCAGGTACCTTTCTTAATAGAACTGACGTGCAAGAGATTTATAGGAATGAACAAATAATCTAAAACAACAATGGGCCACCTTAGAAGTATTTCCTTGATATGGAGAAGCTGTTCGACATGACAACAAATAACATGGTAAATAAATGTGTGGGATGCTAAAAGAAGTGACATTAATCAAAAAAAGGTTACTTACCCCATTTATACCGGAAAACTGTTGGCCAATATGAGGTACCAATGCTACAATTAATCCCCATCGCAAGTAAGGAATACGTAGTAGGTCGCAAACAGTCGATTTGTGCGTGGATGAGTATTCCGTTTCCTGTTTCAGTAGTTCTAACTCAGCTTGAACATCGCAATCCTGCCCTCGAAAGTAAACCAGTGCTATATACGTAAAATGAATGATAAAATGCCTAGTAAATTACCATTTTCCGATCTTCGACGATCACCTTTAATAATGTATAAGTAGGTAGGACTCTCAGGACAGGTGACCAAGAATAAAACATGTATGACACTGGTAACGGTACATAAAGCTTTCAAAATATAAGCATTTTTATTATCATACCAAGTAGATATGGCCATAGTTCCGTTGTTCCCATCACTTCAGGTAAACCAAGAACTTGTGACAATAATATGGCAGAAACAATCACCAACTGATTGAAAGTGCCCGCAGCTCCGCGAAAATCGACAGGAGCTATCTCTGATAGAAACATAGGCCCAACGACTGTATGAGCGCCTTTTGAAATGTTTTATAAATGATAGAATTACCACAAGCGATTCCAATTATAAATCTTCCGGCAATGATCATTTCGAATGATTGTGCCATTTTTGAAAACATCATTAGGAGTGATCCAACTATTGTTGGGACCGAAAGCAACAATAATGATTTTTTTCTATTGTAAAAGTAACCGTTTGGAAAAGATAACTTACCGGCCCAACTTGTTAGCCAAAACTCCACCAATCAAGCCCCCAAAAAATCCCCCAAGGAGGAAGAACGTAACACACACTGACCATATCAAGTCAATGCAATGCTCATCACATGTAACCGACCTGGTGATTAGGGTAGTATTTATAAAGCTTTTAATCAGCTAAATACAATTTTCTGTCTATTACTAATAAATAACTCACATCAGCCGGTGTATTTATAACCCCAGTGTTATATCCAAAGGGAAATGAACTGCCCAGTGTTATGACCCAATATGGCAAGAAGAACTTTAATCGTCTCATTGCTTTTGATTCGAAATGTAAAAAGCTAAAAACGAATGACAGACCAGTGAAAAGTCGTAGGTAAATTTGAACATGTTTAAGATAAAATGATAAAGTTCACGTCACACGAAACTTGAACTACTGTAGACATAAGTGTACATCACCTCACCGTAACATGCTTTAATTCGGTAATTAGGGGTGAAAAATCTGCGTCCGTTCCTAAGTAAAAGACTCCAGAACAAATGGCACTGGTATGATTTTTATTTTTACAAATCCTAAAGTAACAGGCAATAGTCTCTTGATAATTAATTTCTAAAATCATGACGTCTCAACTCAGTCATATTTATTCTGAACCTGTATGTCTAGTTCAAGTAACTCAATGAAATATTTTATGTGTGGATGTAAATAATTTAAACTTGGGAACAAAACTAATCTCAAGATTTCTGAAAGTAACATTAAAGGAGTGCAGACTAGTCATTTGTAGCTTTTAAGTGAGAGGCTTTTAGTGACACGAACAATTATTTAAAGACTGTTCGATAGTTCAATATATTGAGGCAGTCAGCTATAGTTTACAACTTCTGTTAAGATTTGTTGAATACATCAATGTATATTAGAATTCCAACCTAAGAACTATTAATATAAGTATGTATCACATAATGTAGCGTATAAAGGTATACAAATAGTGCAGGAACACAAACGCTATTAGCAACGGTTATTCTCATATATAAAGCGACAGTTTTGTGTATTATGGAGCATATCATCAACATCAAACGCACCGATAAATGAAACGCTAAAAGTATAGTGCGGGCGACCTTGAGTGGCCGGTCAGCCAATCAGGAAACGCAACCTAGTTGTGAAACCATCAACAGCTAATAGCTTTAAAATAACAGTGTAAAAATAGCTTCAATTTGAATAGCTTCATTGATAGGCATAGTAACAAATCAGACAAACGTAATCATACCAAGGTAGAACCACTGTGAGGTAGGTCTAGCTGTCCTGATCAACTGCTGTCTTTCTATTTGATTCAACGGTAGTTACAGAAATAGCACACCTGCAAACACAGAATTTCTGGAAAGATAAAAGCATCTGCACGAAGTTGCGTTCTAGGACTGTCAGACGTAAAGTTGCAATTATGGATGTCTTTCAGGTTCTATTCCTGTTTGGTATATATTCACTCTATTCAATATTACCATTTTCCTCAAAACATGTCTCGCGTATTTTCCTGTTCAAATTATCTCGCAATCCACTGTTGAATGGCGTGTGCAGCAACGGCATAGCCATCAGTTATTACTCTTTAACAGTTAGGAAAACTATAATAGATCTGAATTCCGGGGTTATGAGTGAGTCAAAAATTCCAGTTCATGACAACAAAACTGTGAAAAGGTTCAAAGCGTTACTCGATTGTGAAACTCTGTGTAATATGCATAACTCGGATCAATCGATCCCAGCACCTATACTGGATTTCCAACAAGGAAATCGGGTTGGTTTTTTCCATAGATTCTTAATCCCAGTAAGATTGGTAGACAAAAAAAGAAATAAGAGAAGAATGCGTCCTGCATCTTAAATGAAGCAGTTTCTGTTCAGAAAGGACTCAACAATGAAAATTGTATGACTAGATCCTTGCCAGTTAAAATCAGTGACTCTGAATTTGAATTTAACTTCTACAGTGGATGAGTTCCCCTTCGTGAGCGTACTTTAGTACCGATGCAGCACAAAGGGTTTATGCTAAGTCACTCCTGTCTGTAGTTTTGGTATCTTTGTGCACAGTGCAGAATCATCAAGTCAACAAAGTTAACAGCTGATAATCACAAGACAACATCAGAAACACTCCTACCGATTCCCCGATCCAACATAATTTGTCCAAAAAAACCGACCAGACAGGCGGCAAAGGTATCACAACCCGAGCTTATATATTGGAGAGATCACCGGCTGTTATAACTAACCCAGTATCTGCTAAAACAATTGAGAATCGGGTGTTCGTAAGAATGGAAGGAAGAAAAAACAAAGCGCCAAAAATTCCACAAATCAGGGACATGAACTCTAGAAAAAGTTCACTGATTTTATCTAATACTCCATCGTTGGAGGATAACTTATTAGAAAGTGGGGCTATCATTGATTAAGAACAGTGAGGCGGATACTGCCTAATGCCTGCAATGAGCAGTATTCCAACCAAACTTTGCTCTCTGTGTAAGGGTCAGAGTTTAGTGAAGGAAAAAATTTCCAATTTGGGGTAACTTTAGACTCAGGACAAGTTTTCGAAGAAATTCTTCTCACATCTTAGAGACCTTCGAACAAACTGTCCTTCCTAATCCGAGTCAAGCACGATCACCCGGTTAGTATCGCAAACTCCTGTAAAGTCAACTGATATCCAGAGAAAACCAGTATGGTGGTTTACAGAGTGTTCCGGCTAATTGGTGGTAGCCTGGATGTAGCTCACAAACATGGTATGTAATAGTGGAGGTGACTATCATGTACCATAAGACTTCAAACCACCAAAGGAACTAGCGACCTCAAACTGCACCATTGGTCAGGTCTCATGGATATTCTCCGACCGTAGCTGCTACCTTGACGTGGTGGTCGAGCTTGACTATCGTGATGAACCAGTCGAGTTATATTGGCTGGAACATATGTTCCTGAATGATCTACCATGCCAGGCAGGTCCATTGGAGAACGATGGGACTAAAAGCACCTACTCGAGGTCTGAGGGCGAAGTCGTACTCCTGACCGACTGTAGAGGGTTGTGACAGCAATAAGGTGTTTCCCTCGCACAACCAGCAACTGAAGTGATGCTAACTCCTCACAAGGAAGGAAGGGTTAGAAAAGGTCAACCCTAAAAATGTCACACCTCACCTCACCTCACGGATTTCCGTCTCCGATGGAAAGGTTGCTCACTAAGTGCTTTAAGTGAGCGGAAATAATATTCAAAAAACCTCTCATAAAAAGGCCGTGCGTGACCGGCCTCAAGCAGTTGTCCCTTGGACTCAGCGGTCACGATCCTAGGTCTCCAAGACCAACACTAATCTACCTTCCTTTTCAGGTTCCTCAAGAAACAACCTTCCAAGGTGTGGGCAGCCGGGAAGTGACAACCGCCCTCATACCCGTAACATCACACGAGACCAAATCTGTCACAAACTGATCCTTCCTACACCCACTGTTATCTCTCTTATCTCCACAACGTACTCTTCCCGCACCTCTGCTGCAACCGATTCGAGTTCCCGAAACGTTATTCCTGGTCTCCTGAAACCCCTCTATAGACTACATGTTGGAGCATTTATGTCCGGACATTGTGTCGAATAGGGCAACAGGCTTACTGCGTAGGCTACTAGTATTCGAGCATAGATGTCTTAGAAGCATTGCTCGAGTATCGTAGGACAACCGAGAGACCAATGCAGTTGTTAGGAAGTGAGTAAAAGCTAAGGATTGCTGATCGATTGATTAGAGTATTAGGTATTCGTGTGTTACTGGTTTTCGATCATAGGTGTCTCTGAAATATTGCTCGTTTGTCTTGGGACTATCGAGTCAGCAATGCTGTTGTTAGAAAACGGGTGTTAGTTTAGGATGGCAGATCAATAGATGAAGTATTGAAACTCCATCAGTTGAGGTGGTTGGGACGTGCGTTACGAATGCCTAACCACCGACTGCCTCGTCGAGATATGTTTTGTGGTGTAGGAATATGTTGGGCGAAGCTAGGGGCGGCCAAACCGAAACATGGCACAAATCCATGAATTTACTGACAAGTGGACTAAGTCATGTCGGTAGATGTAGGCTACCTGGTTGGGGTTCGAGAGATGATGGTAACCGATGGTTAGAGACTTTGAGTGACATGACTGAAAACCGTTTGCGATGGCTCAGATGCATACATTCTATGTGTTCTCTCAGATCCTAAACTTCTTAATTCCTCATCACCTTATCTTTTTCTTTTTGAGTTTATTTCACCAGATTATACTTCATGAATAATATCTTCGAACCCTAATCTCTCCGATTACTGCTAATACTTCTACTACCTCTACTACTATGGGATTAGAATTGACAATTGCGTCTTTGTGTTAAGGTAGTATGACAACTTCAACTGATGTACGTATGTTCGAAGTTCTAGGTTGTAATTAACTGACTGAATAAATGAATCAGTGAACAAATGCTTTTCAGGTAAACCTGCTTGAAATGTAATTGTTTTTCAGAATAAATCCATGAATTTACTGAGATGTGGACTGAGTCGTGTCGGTAAATTTAGGCTTCCTGGTTGGGGTCCGCATGACGATAGAAACCGATGTTTAGAGACCTTGAATGACATGGCTCAAAATCGTTTGCGATGGCGAAGGTGTATCCACTGTTTTTGTTCTCTCGAATCCTAATCTCTCGGTTTCATCAACACCCCTACCTTTTTCTTTCTAAACGTATCTCACTGAATTATACTTCCTGAATAATATCTTCGAAACCTTATTTCCTCCATAACCGGTAGTACTTCTACTGTGGTGTGTGCTACTTATACGAACGATATAAGTAGTATAAGAAGGGACGTGAAAGAAGAACTCTCATGGTCACTAGAGGAAAACGGAAAGCAAATGGAGCAAAAGCGAGAAGGAAAAGGAGTACCTACAGGAAGTAAAGGAAGCAACAGCAGGAATGGAAGAAGGCTGGAGCGTTGGAAATCAAGACTCAAAGATGGTGTGCAAATAGATTGTTCAATGTAATGTTTTCGTTTTCAGTTGACTAAGAGTGTAAATTTGCTAACTACAATCTATCGAGCCTGCCTCATTCTTCTCACTACCATCCCTACCACTATGTTATTTGAATTGACATTTGCGTCTCTGTGCTAATGTGGTATGGCAACCTGAACTGATGTACTTACGTACGAAGTTCTGCGTCGCAGCTAACTGACTGACACACAGATATTCAGTCTCCAGGTCCGATGGCCGTGAAGTTCAAAAGCCAAAAAGACCTAAATGAGGCATCTCAGGCTTGGTACAGCATGAACAATTATCCCTCTAGTCGCCTTGGACGTTGTGAGTTCCCATCTAGATCAATGAGAAAACAACAAGGAAGGAAGCATACACTAACTAAGCATACTAAACGACGACGCATGGTAAAAGTCACAAAGATCAGTGTATCCCTAACTGAATACACCATCCCAGCAAAAATCCTGAAGCCAAAGATTCTTCGCGGACTGACCAACCTTATTTGATCAGCATGTCAGACCGGTTGTTACTGCAGAAATGCACCAGGTGATGCGAAAAACATCGAGTGCTTTTGTTGCAAGGTAAGACAACTCAAGAATATATGCTCTCACGTGAATCTGAAGATCGCAACCTGAAATAAAACATAGCTCTCTCCGGACATTTCAGACGACGAAGTAAGCTCACAAGGCATGACACACTTCCGATGCGCTAGATTACAGAAAATGGGAGATGGAGTGGTGATGTGTATACTGACAGCAATTTCAAGGCCATTAATCGCGTAGTGCACAACTAACTCAAGAGAGAATCATGCTGTTGTTGGTTGAACGCGAGCGCACAAATATTACGTTGAAGGGATATACCAGCTATCTTAGGTTTTAAGCTCCAGAGAGGTGTCAACTCAGGCGACATGACAGTTATGACACCTGTGGTTTGACATAATATTTCTAGCTGGAGACTCTAGTAGTATATCCCTAAATCTCAGCAAACAGGATACAACTCCCACAGGTTTATCCCAAAAGTGACTTGTAATATCATTCAGAATCTCCGGACTGACTGGGCATAAGTGTGACGTCACTAGAAGGAACAGGAATGGACA